TTTCAATCAATTACTCGCCGAATCGGTCGGCTGCGAGAATCCTGTATTTTACGAGAGCTAATTTCACAATTTGTTACAATCGCGTGTGGACCGTTTTACTGAAACTGAACACGCCCGATACCCGAGTCGGAAATTTGACCCTATATTAAACCTCTAATTTCACAAGACAGAATCAGCTAAGATAGCAAAATAAGTTCAATGATGTATAATAATTAAATGATTCAATTAGGTTCTAATAATACAGTTCACTCCTAATTGACCATGATGAAGTCTTAAATTTCCATCTCTGCTGTTTTCAGCGTTAAAATAAATTGTTTCAAAGTAGCGTCACAATTAAATCTGTAGAACTAAAAGTTCAAAAGAGGAATTAACTGTAATATCGTTAAAATAAATTTTTATTAGTCTGTAGATCATTTATAGTAGGCGTAAATCCTTAATATATTGTCAGTCGCGTGAGTTGCGGCTTACCAGCCGTTAAAAACCATACACTTCATAAACGGTACACAGTAACGTAAGGAAGACCGGAGGTTATTGTCACACTATTATTTTTGGCTATTATTATTGTCACACTATTTATATATTAACTAATGATAAAGACGTATACAATATTTCATAAGATCATGTACATTTTAATGTAACTATACGCTCCTTTATTTATTAAATGAGATATAAGCTTCACGACAACTAATATCTCTCCTATATTGATCTGGATTTTTCCAATTCTTGCAACATAGGAAAGTTAATATATAAAAAAAGAAATCATAATTTCTTTCCACTACCATCAAAAGTTTAGATTGACTGATCGGTCGATCAACGATCGAGAAGAGAATAGATCTACTCTCTCGCTCGGTTGACAATGCATCAATTACAACACCATTAAAATTTCGGGGAAGACCAAATTTCTTGCAACAGATTTGGCAACGAGCTTGAGAAACCGAGCCGTCGGCCGAATTATTCGGAGACCTTGCTCGAACTTTTTGCCGCCGCTAGGATAACGTTTAGAGCGATTTCATCCCGTGATGGTTTCCAACGTCACCTTCGTGCGTCGGAGAGAACGCAGTTTTAACGTCACGTCGCGCGATCGTGCTTTTTGCACGGCAATATTGCCCGATTGTTCGTGCCAGTAACAATGAGTATTATTTAAAGCGACTTCCTGTGAGTCCCACTTTGCGTGAAAGGAAGAATCATTACTTGCGGTTCTCCCGAGAGCTACTATCGCGTGGTTCTAGACCCCATATTGACCCAGACTGCGTAAACTGAATGCGCTTACCTTCTCGCACACAGGCCGGGATCATTCATGGGCAAGTCGTGTTAACCGTTCGCGTACGTCGCAGGTCATCGCGTTGATACTCGAATACCTGTGTCCAAGCGCAAATAATACGTTCAGTCTCAAACTCGTGCTTCTTGAGGCGAGCCGAGTTGCCATCTTTGCGGCGAACCCGCGGCTAATTTGCCGTCGTACCGACGAAGTGATCTCGGACTCACCATGAAATCTGAAGCGAACACGTTCGACAGAAACTCGGCGGATTTGCGAAACCACCCGAGTCGAAATTTTGGCTCTGTGTTACAATCTTTTCCACAAGAAAGTATACAGTGACAGTTCTTTTCGCACGAGTAACTATACCCAAAAAGAAGCCCCATCCGTAAAGATTATGTTACCCGAATCTTTATTTAAATTTTCATCAGCCCACGCTAGTTGTGACATGCTTTTGCGTGAGAAGGGATTTTTGAATTGCGGAACGATATTTTACCTTTGATTCATATAAACGGCGTCTGATCGGTGTTCAGCCCAATATTTATAACCTTCTCACTAATCCTGAGCTTGGCGCAATGTTAGCGTAAGGTCTCGTGCAAACAAACGAATAGTCGTATAAGATGTGCAGTGTAAGTTATTTGAAGTAAGCATAAACTATTCTTGAGAGTGCCGAAGTAGCGACGAAATTCGGACTCGGGTGAGAAATATTACTTGGAAAAGAATTAATCAATTAACGATCAAATCGCGAGAGAAGCTGTCGTATTGCTTACCGATAACCCGCGAGGATACTCACCGTAAATCCACTGTGGAACTCCCGTTGGAAAAGACGCGTCGTTTGTTCGTTCGTTCGTTCGAGAAGAATTTCGCGAAACCGGAGTATTCTGGCTGTCATGCTCGCATGGAGAGGATTCGAGCCCCGAAGGGATTCGCGTACCTGATATCCCTTCCCTTTTACCTCAGCCCGTTTATTCCCGCGTGCTTCGACTTCTCGGCTCGTTCCGACGACCGCATACTGCAGCAAGATTGTTACGCTTGGCAAAGATAGCATCGCCCACGTATTTGCAGAGCTCGATTGTGATGTAAGAAGTCGCCGTTGTCGCTCGTGAAAACCACCGTCTGATGTTCCATGTTTCTTTCGCCAGAAGAATGATCCTCGCGAATTCACGAAGGAGAATTTACAGGAAAAAAAGGAAGAGTCGTAATAATCAAGTAGAAAGACAATTTACTGAGCTCAAAAGTTTATATAAATATTCATACATTGTATAACGAGCAATTTTGGATTTGGCAGATAAAATGTAACGATTGTATTTTTAAATGGTTACGAATAAGTTCAACTTCTGCTTGACGCTATAATTGAAGCGTGTCGCTAATTGTTAAATTTATTTGATAAAATTACCGTCTTTTATTGCGGGAAATAAGGAATTATGGATTTAGCGTCTTTGTAATAACCGGAAACGAACATTGGATTATTACAGCTCCGTTGGAGAAACTTAGGCGCGTATCTTCTTCTTATGACGTGATGAACTGACTCATACATTTATTTAAAAATTCAGTTTCGACGTTCCCCAATTACTTACATTATAATTTAAACAACTTCTATTTATTATTAAATAGTTGGAAATGATACGTAATTGTAAAATTAAGATCGCACGTTTAACCAACGATAGCTGTAAAGAGACGGTCATTAAAAGAATTAAAAATAAGCAGCTCGTATTTCATGTGCAATTTTGACTTTTACATATATATTATCTGTATGCCATTAATGTCATTATGAAATTTGAAATATCGCTTTTAACATTCGACATTTACATATTTTTCACGTATAAAAGCTTTGACGCTGATAGTTCCCTCTAATTTGTCCTTACTTCATGTACTGGTATTACATTTATACGTTGACAGAATAATGATTGCGAAATCTTTCATTGGAATTTTAATAGCCGCTGCAACGATGGTTATTGCCATTGCTTCGGCGCATCCGGAAGCTATTAACGTACGTATTCAATATAATTAAAATGTATTTATATATTGTATAGAATTAGAGAGAAAGAAAGAAAGAGAGAGAGAGAGAGTTTTCGTTTTCCGCATAACCCGTAGTAATTTAAGATTATTTTAGCCCAAAGTAATTAACTCACTGCTTGGATAAACGAAATGAATTATATGTTGACAAGGATGCGGAACAGGATAACTGCAATGTGAATATCAACGGATTGAAGATATATGCATGTAATATGACAACATATACCATTGTGAAATAAATATCAATTGATGCAAAATAATATGTGTTTATCATGTAAGAATATTTATTCGATTATTCCAATTTGTTACTATTAAAACCAAACATGTTTAACAGGGTTCCTTTATTGAGAGAGATTATTTATTATTATTATGATTATTTTGTTTAAATAAAAAAATTTAGATCCGAGTAAATATGTTATTAATACTCACCGAATAAATATTATCCATTTTTTAGATACTTTTTTTCCCAGTGTATTTATTACACACCCTAATACATGACATCGTGACTGTGACGCAAGAACAAGCTCTCCCGCGCAAAAATTACAAGATATTGGAAGTTCAGCACCCTCTTGAAATTATCACGAGGTCGAGAATCCCTGGATAAGGGTGGCGAATGATCCGGTTCGCTGTGCAGACGACGAATTTAGCATCGTTGTAACCTCGTTCCCGGCTAATTACGCTTACGTTGGAGGGTTCACCGTCGATCGGGCAATTGCGACATCGTAGGCTCGCGCGCCACGAGTCGATAGAGGATCGATCGTCTGTACGAAAGTATACCGTTACACCAGCCGTCCACCTGCCCGTCACTTTTGGGCATCCGTTGATGAGTGGCCGGCATGGAAATTGGAACCGTGTCGCCCGGAAGTGGGGCTTCCAATAATGGCGAGTACATAACGAGGCGCGAGGCGTTCGACCCCTCTGCGGAACGCCGCAAACGGGAAACCCTCGTCGTTCGTCAATTCGCCGGCTCGGTGTAATTGTCGTGAAGCCAATTAATAGAACGCTCGGGAACGCGAATACTTGATCGGCGCGACCGGCTTGCGCGCTCGTCGGCAGATCATTGATATCGGAACCCGACTGTCAGCGGACAAGTGGCTCCGTAAATGTAATGGCATTTAAACGGAGCGCCTGGAGCTCCGCTCGTCGAACCGTAAAATACTTCACACGATTCGTGCGACCGCCGCCAGCACACTCTTCGCATTATATATATATATAATAATAATATGAATTATACTATAAAAAATTCATGTATATGATATGATATATATGATATGATGTGAGCTAAATTAAAATAATTAAAATGAAAATCAAGGATCGCCTTTGCGCGTTAAAAAAGGGTAGTTCGTTGCAGATAGCACCAGCACAGTATAATTAAAAATTACACGCTGTTCTCGAATTTCGTAGAAATTTTTATGAACGCTCAGGTATCAGCTCAGGTTGAGATGGACATTGCACAAATTTTATATATATATATAGAATCGAGTACAATTTAATTAAAATAAAATTATTCGAGATATATATTTCTATATGTGAATAGTCCGTGAGACAAATGCAAATAAAAATACGACATTGCGTGTCGGTGAACCTGAAATCCTATTATTCAGTCTTCGGTTTGTATCCTTCGAGATTTGTGTTTCTTCGCCCAAACTGACTTTTTTTGTATACTAAACATTTTTATTACTTTGAACGACGTCACTTTTTCGTTATTCGCGCTGCTGATTGATTCTTATTCGAGTTATAATTTCGTTCTCGACGCGTGTTAACGACAACTCGTGAATACTCACAGTGGCACATCCAGCCGATTCTTCCGAGAGCGACTTTTGTATACGTGTAAAATGGCTATTTTATTCGCGTTTATTAATCAATATCCGCGCACTGATAGTTAATATTACTTCAGAAAATTATCTTAACCGTAACACCGCAATAGTTTGCGATCGACTTGACCGTAATTCTCGTTGAACACTTCCGACAGTTTTCGTCCGAGGCAGTGTATGTCTCACAACGTGCATCATCTCGCTTCCGCGCGATCCGTTAGAAATTTCTCACGCTCGCCGGACAATTAGCGCAAAATTGCGATTTCACACGAACGGGCCGGAACGATTTCCTCCTCCGTTCCCCTGTAATAACACGGATCGATGCTTCGATATTTCCCTATGCTTATTCCGCATATCCCGGGATCGGTGTCGCGGGGCCAGCCATTCGATCGCTCGATCGGCACACGAGCGATCTTATGGTGTGCCACGGGTCGATTTGCGATGCTGCGATGCTGAGATAAGCGAATGGTCCTCTTCACTTTCAGTAAAAGCCGCTCGTTTACGCGAAGTAAACGTAACGCTTTACCGTTTGCGCGCGCGCGAAATAGTTTCCCTCCGTTCGGCCGGGTCAGGACTCGAGCTTCCGATTCGGTCAGAAGTGGATTTTAACCGTGTAAATCGTGCGATCTCTCTCAAGGGAACGCGCTTAGAACTTGAACCTTGGCCGGTGTCACGGAAGAAGGCTGCTCCTCACCGGTCTCTTACTGTAATCGTCGTCGATGTCATGCAGGTCCGGCGGGTCCGCGAATCCGCTGTCCTCGTAACGGGTGCAACGTGAACCGGGAGATCTCGGCGGATGGACCGGATGAATGCTGCAACAACGCGGGAGAACGTAAAAGTGTGACGTAAACGTGTGAGACTTACGTAATCGTGAATCTTCAACAGCTTTATTTCTTATTTCCTTTGTATCTTGAAAAAGGGGCTTATACACGGTGTGTGTGTGTGTGTGAGAGAGAGAGAAAGGTTTATTTGAATCTAGTATTCTCTCTTTGTTGGACTTGGATTCGTTTGATTCAAACAACGTAATATGAAAATATCGAAAAACACGATTTTACATCAAATATCATTTAGTTTCATTAGATCAGACCAAGTTGTTCGATAGAAGAAAAACCACTATTATATGGCAAAGGACGATCTTTGAAAATCGATCGACTCTAAAGACTTCCTGCAAAAGTCAAATAAATCTTACCATCCGTCTATATTTATCTGAAAATGATTCAAAGTAAATGTGCCAAGCTCATCGCACGAGAATTGTGAAGCTGACTACCGTGCTTTTCGGGGGAACGTAACAGCTGTGCGACAATGTTCGATCGCCGGCGGATTTGCGAGGAAATCTAAATTGTAGAAAATATACGCCGGTATTCGCAATTACTCTTATCTAAAAGTACCTGGTGCATCTCGAGGGGCTCGTTTCCAAAGGTTCGTCGTATCTGCGGGAGAGCATCGTAAAATCGCGATGAGCCGCGACCATTTTCTGCAGCCGCGAAATGATCTCGTAATCGGGCGTGCAGATTGGCTCTGACAATAACTTCGCCACGGAGACACGGAAGCTCTGAAGCTGAGACAGGAAATGAGCGATTTGCGAATTGAGTCATACTCGTAGCTTACTCGGGCGACAGCTCGGGCGACTCGTCCGAGCGTTCACTTTCCTATCCGTCGCGCTCCCCGCGATTCTAGGTAGGTAATCGTTTCTGTGCGCGTACAGGTCACTAAATGAATTTTGATTCTTAAAACACTGCTGCATCTTCCGCGATACCGAAATTACCTGGTGCTACCGATAGCGTTGGATCGGGTAATAAGTGATTTCGGATTTCCCTTTGGCAAAAATCTACTGCTGCGGTGAAAAGTGCTGCATTGAGGTAAATATATGCTGAGGAATTTGTTGGACTAATTATTTGATTTGGATTAAGTAAAGATTGCTAAGTAACTTACTTAAGTGAGTAAGTAAAGTAAAGATGAATGTGGCACGTCGAAAGACTAAAGTGCTACATTCGACACTGATTTAATCCAAGCGAAATCGTTATTCCGGTACTCCTTAGCAAAAATTTACTTGAATGCAACGCTATTTTCTTTCACTGTGGCAAATCCGGAATCACTTATTGCACCGCTCAGTAATAAACGCTTCGTCACCACTCCATTCCCGTTCTTTCTTCGAAAATCCGCGATATAAATCAATTATCCCCGCAAAACGAAGGAACGTAACAGCGTAATTAGATCGGGGGACTCGTGCGCCCGTGTGTACGTACAGTTAAGTTATAACGCTTAATTAATGTTAGCTTACGCGAACTGTGAATCGAAGTTCCGCCGCGGCGGGCAAAGTTGCGGCGGCGACGTCAGGGTGGAACATCGCGGCGGAGTTGCGCGTGCAAGATTTACAGTCCTTTCGCACAAGGTACGCCGCAGCAGCTTAAATCGACTATCTGCTTTACAGCCCGGCGATGTGCGCGAACGTGTCTCGAATTACTATGGCGCAGAAGTCACTCCAAATCGTTCTGAACGAGCGTTATGCGCCCGACGAGAGAGATCGCAATTACGCGAATGGCTGTCATCGAGAGTCATTGAAACCGCCTCAATGAATTAACGAGACCTCTTCGGCTCCTCCGTCTCTCCGCGAGTATCAGGAGTAAGCCGCTTGCACAGAGACGCGCTCACGGCTTTAATAAGAGATCAAAGTGCGAAGAGCTTGCGGCGCCGGAACTACGGATTACGGTGGAACTGCGAAATTATGTTGCTTCCGGAAAGATAACGCGGATTTGCATTATAATTGATGTTATTTCGGCCGACCGTCCGCGATATATCGCTGCGGCTTTGTGTGGCAGCTTCTCCCTTTCTCCCGGCTGAAGAGTCCCGTTCGAAATATCTCTCTCAAGTCGAATCGGTGAAAATGTCGCTGCTTGAATCAATACTTTAAATATAAGCTCGTCATGCCGCTTTCTACGCACTCATTCGCTGATATACTTTAATTTAATATTTTAGTTGCCTATTTCTTGACGTCTATTAATTGAAGAACTGGCGTAGTGCGTGAGATATTCATGGCAACCATAAAATACAGTTGTATGAATATCGTACTTGTTATGACTGTAAATCAGGGTTCACTTTGCTCTATTTGGCATGCTTAAAGAACTATAAACATATAGTTTGGGCCAAAAGTGACTGTAAAATGTAATGAGATTATAGTCACTCCCTTTTTCTCCCTCAGTGTATCGTTGAACGATGCTGCATCGATTTTCTGATAGTAATGGCCAATTCATGCACCGTTCGCCTTGGTAAGCCGCGATTTATCTCGCGAGTTTACCGCGTTATTTTATTTCATATTAATAATGAGACGCGTCGACGCGAATTTATACACGATCGTAAAGTCGCGAGACTAAATACCGCGCGCGATATCCGACGCGTATGAAGAGTAATAATACCGCGTCTCACCTGGGATTCTCTTCTCGTGACCTCGGAGAGGTTTTGTTTGACCTGAGCGAGCTCGTCGCGGAGTAGCTGCAAGGAATGGTCGTTGATCGATCTCTCCTGATCGGCCGTCTCCGCGGTCGTCCTCATCTGCTCCTTCACCATCGTCAACTTTCTGTTGTAACGCGTCCGCAGCATCTCGCTCTCCACGAGACGCTTCTGGAGCTCCTCTATTTTCCGGCTGCGTTCCAGCGCGGCTATCTGTAAAGTGGGTTAAAACGCCTGATCGATAGTCGCGGATTATAAAGGCTTTCTAGCGCGGCTCGCGAAGAGAATTCGCTGCAGAATTTTGTTTCCCCGGCGAACGTCACGCTGCTCGCGATTGTGTAAAACCGATTTAACAACGGATTTTCCCCCCCCCTTAAGCCGGGAAATACAACAACAAATAATGGGAAACGGAATAAAGTTAAAAAAGAACGGAATCAATTTAAGGCGAAATATTAGGACAGGCGGAAGAGTTAAATTATCGATTAACGGTTTCTCGTTTGTTATAACGAGGAGGGAAGTCTCGTGAAATAACGAGAATTACGAAGGTATTAAAAATGCGCGAAGTATCACAATCTCATAAATACTGTAAAATAATTGTGATCGCACCTGGCCTATAAGAATCACCAGATATCATGATGTTATGACATTATCTTTTTATTATTATTTAAACATGACAATGGAATTAGTAGTTAAGTTCGATTTAAAAGGAATTTTAATGTTTCTGACAATATGAAACATAAAAAAATAAGAAATTACAGTCAAAATATATTCTGTTGTTTTATTTTCATATTCCTTCATTTACTATTAATTTACTATTAATTAATGAATTAATTAATAAACTGTTAATTCACAAAAATTAAAATATAATCTATATTTCTTACACTATAGCTAAATTTTTTTATTGTCATTTTTTGTTTCTTATACATTATTATAAATAGGAGAAATTCAAGTTCAAAATCGATGCAATTTGTTATACGAAATTTGTTGACCGTGTAATTAATGTCATAACATTGATAGTGGCTCTGCGTGTTCACAATTATTTTAGATTTCTCGAAAGCTAATCAAGTTTATAAATATTATATTATGATTAAACATAGCATATAAATATTATGATTAAACAGCATTAAATTTTACACGCGCAAAATGTGCACGTCTTGGACACCATATGTCGGTGGCTAAAATACCTGTGTAACACGTTATGTAAATTTGAACAAACATAAAGAGAAAGTCCATAAAATTCATGTACGAAATTCACCGTGAGATTACGAGGAACTATTTTCCGGGAATATTGATTAACACAGACAAACACAGTCGTCATCAACCGCAAAATAGCGACGAAATTGCCGCACGCACTGCATTTTACCTGCGTATACCGCGAGGCCTACAGATTTTCGCCTGATTATGAGAAAGTACACATTCTCGAAATTACGTGCCTTGTAATCCGCCGCTTCCGTCAATTGTGCGCTCAACTCCCGATTCCGCGACTTTTCCTCCGACAATTGGACCTGCAGTCGCTCGACCTGTTTCACCAACTTCTTCGCGCTGAAAGTAGAAGGAAGAAAAGAGAGCCTCGCTCGCTACTCTTCTTTTTTGAATTTCTCATTTCGCCCGTCGAGCATCAGCGGCGACGCCTCGCGCCTAACGTTCGGCAGCGACGCGTAAAACTGCATTCAGCGCGTACACAGAGCAGACCGCCGTCCACTAACAGGAATTACGGGTAACCGCCGGTGCGCTCGCCGCATGCGCGTAAAAAAAAAGAATCTCAAACCACGCCGCATCTCGAATGCATAAAGCTCGGTTGGACAAATTTGCCGATATAAACCGCTGTTCTATATTTCTCTTATTCGACAGCTAGTCGATAGGCATTGTCACCCCATCGACATTTCGCATCCGGTAGATACTGAAGATCGGGGTCAATTGTAACAAAAAACAATTACCGCGACAATCGCCGGTGATAACACCGCCCTGCCCTTAATTTCCCTGCTGTAGTTTGAATGGGAATAATTCTTGCGCAAACTCGAACCGCGGTTAGTTGCAGCGATTATCCTTTTACACGTTGTATAGAGAAATAAATTAAATGAACTGATAAAAGGGTATTAAAAAAATTATAAACAAGGCTTTCGGCGTGTGATGTACAAAATCGCATGCAATTTCTACAGAGTGTTTCAGAAATGGTAGACTGGCTGTATGTAACCGTGTAAGATACATCAAGCAAATACACGGCTACATATAGCCAGTCTACCTTTTTTTAAATATTCTGTATAAACTAATAAGAGCCGACGCAAGATGTAAGGTAAAAAGCGTTAAATATTCTTGAAAAAAATTAATAACGTGTACATGAACAGATGTTTCGATTGTGTCTCGACTCTCTTTAGTGAAAAAACACATAAAAATTTTTTTATACCAATGTTCACTCTAGAAGGTTAAAATATGACCGAAACGTTTATTTATATATACATACTGATTTTTTAAAGAACACGTAACTTTTATTTTCCTTATATCTTTTATCAACTTTTATTGGCTTATAAAAAACGGTGAAAGTCTTTAAATGGCTTAAATAATATTTGCGGAATATCCGAATTCCGATATAGAGTAGAACTTTCATATAAGTCCCTCGTTTCCTCTCTATATATATAGTCACTAACATTATACTTAGAGTCCCCTCCATATTGCTGTTCAGTAGATAGTCGAGCTACGCACACAGCTCAGTCATATATATAGCTGATCGCACGACATTTACATATGTGCTTGCGATCGTCTGAGCATGTGGAGATTTGATAATTTCGCTATTGAAGGGGAACGATATACTCTGTCTTGTGTCTCTGCTCCCTCCTCTCCCCCCAAAAGAGGTCTTATATGGAGGTTCTATTGTATTCGGTATATTCTCGAACGGAAGAACTCAGAATGTTCGTGGAAATTGCCGTAATTGGCCTCGGATTATTAATAAACAGACCGAATATTCGCCTCGTCCCGTTCACTCTGCAACAGTGACTTCATCCTCACACTATCCTCCTGTAGAGATAATTTTCTACGCAGGAGATCCAAGTGCAGGTCCCTTCGTTGCAGTTGCTCCCGCAAAGTTCGTACTCGTCGTTGTAGCTGATACACCACGGAGGTCTGCGCGGCAAAGAAAACGCATTCGTCAAATACGCCAGTCTTAACGGCGAAATCGTTTTTTTTTCCCCAGGCAAATGCGACGACGCGTGCAAATACACATTACTGCAGAACGTAAACGTGCCTGAGCTGAAATTTCAGTGATGATACGTGATACCTGATGAAGGGGACGGCTAGTGAATCAAATAGTGATCGTGTTTACGCGTATTGCGATAACTTCGTTGTGAAATACGCATAGTTAGATGCTGCTGTTTCTCTAAGAAAATGAATATCTGCTCTCATATGAAATAAGGGAGGGTCGTTTAGAAGTGAAGCCTATATTCGTTGGCATAAATTTTAATCGTGCACCGAAAGAAGATTAGTTGAATTAATCTGAAATATAAATATATTTGCTAAACAATTAGAATATGAACGATTCGTGATTTTTATTAAGACTTTTGTTAAAGATGCAAAATAAATTGTATTCTCATATGAAAAAAATAAACCAAATAAAATGAATAAGAAATAAATAAATAATGGTAAAAGATAACAATGTACTAACCTGTCCTATCCATTCATTTCCTCGATTTCAATAATTTTATCAATGTGAATACTACTTTCATGCTAGAAAAAATAAAATATCACAACTGCAGAAAACTTTGTTTTAACTAATTACACGTCACTTAGGTTTATCCACGATAGAAAATATTAAGAGAAAATTTCGAGACGCTCGAAAACTTACCCGGCTGCCCTCAAATCATATTTTTCTTTTTATTAATCGTAGTATTTTTTCGATTTTAATGATAATCGGAAATTCATTCTAAAAGGACATGTTCCGAAAGGAACATTTTGCGACTCCTTTCGCACCGTTTCCTTCACAATAGATATATAAACGAAACGTTTTACTAACCTGCCCCTCATTCGAATCTGGCCTTGTCTCCCCCTATCACACATAAATTCTAGTTGCATATCCGAATATTTAGTTATAATAACCGGAAATTCTGCTTCAGAAAAACGTATTTAACTAAACAGGTTTCGTTAATTTAATTTAACAGTGCTTGTTTCACCCGTGTGTTATCGAAGGTTATTCAATTAAAAGTTCGTATCGCGCGCCAGGTGTCTCGTGCTAAAAAGAGCGACCGCGATATCGACGATAACAGCGAACAGCGAGCCCATATTAAAATGGAACTTCATTACGCGGTATGTCCGATAAATCGTCAATGAACCAACAATTTCACGAGCAGAGCTCGAACGTTGAGCCGGCGGCGCGTCCGATCGGGAAGTCTCCGATAAGTGGAGAAGCAAAAAAAGCGTCTTTCTACTTTAAAGATGCTTCGCGGAGAATGGGAGCCGGTAACGAAATAAACGTCTACGGGGGATGTCTGAGGATGCTGTGAAGCTTCTCTAAGGCGCTTTGCTCGCGCCGGGGGCTTACTTCTTTGAGACAGGGGAGCTCGTGGAACGATCGCTCGCGCCGAATCCTCGGTAGGGTCGTATAGCTGCACAAATACTGCGCGTGTGGTAAGCACACGATTTGCGATAAAGAAACACAGAACAAAGGAGGCGTTAGCAACATGACAGCGGCATCGGAAGAAAAAGTAATAAGGATCGTGCCCTTCACCTTGTCGACCAGCTTGTCGGTTTCCAACCTGGCCAGTTGCTCGGCTCGCACCAACAGTGATTCGGTGTGAAGGTCGATCCCGATCTCCTGGGAGATCTCGTCCATTTGCATCGCCTTGCCCAACCGATCCAGGAAAGTTATGAACTGAAAGAAATCGTGACGAAGTCAACTGTAGGACTGATCTGTAGGATCGAGCATAGGTCTGCGTAAGTTGAAGAGCGTTACATTGTCATTGCAGATATTATTAGCAGGGTATGTTAATTATTATTTTTAATTAAGCGAAGTTAAGGATTTATAAATTTAATTTAGTTAAATGTTACCCGAACAAAAACTTATTAACGTAATTATTGAGGTTTTCAATCGTAAATTAAATTTATGTGAAATAATGGAAGGTGGTCTTTTGTAAGAAAATACCAACTGTCTTGTACTCAAAATTCCATACAAAAAAAGAACACAAGCGCTTAGAGAGCGGAAAAAATTCTGCTGGCAATATTTTTTTATTTTTCTTATTTCATATTGAAAGTATCCCGCACAATGTTTTTAATATCAATGAATTATTTTAACTTATATATAAAAAAGGTTAATAAATTAAAGTTAATGCATTTTAAAATATGTAATTTAAGTTAAAAGTCAACTCATTTAAAACTACCTATGCCAAATTAAAAGTTACTAACTTTTTCACCTGACTCTTCACTCGTTAACTAGTTATTACTCAATCCTGATTATTAGGAATACAAGAAATTCATGGAATTAATAAAAAAATCATTTTCCGAATTAAAGATTCAATATTTTACTTAATCCTATCTTAAAGAAGGCATGTAAAGAATGAAAAAAATTGAACGCTTGAAAGGAATTTAGAGATACACAGAGGGCAGTAGAGCGCGTTTCAAGCGTCTAGTTGAAGATAAAAATAAGACGGTTAATCACCCAAGATTTGTAACTTTCCGTCAAAATCGCTTTAACACTTTCAAGCGACAGAAATGTTTCAAGTTACCGTCTGCTTATCCCTGCGTAAAGACTCTCTCGAGAGTTCGCTGCTCGTGAGCTCGGATTCCAACTTGTGTATTTTAGCTTCCAAACCGGCGCGCTCTTCTTCCAAACTGCGCGCTTTCATCATCGTGGATTCGACCAACTCGCTCTGCCGATTCGTCGACTCCGTCGCCGAATTCACCTTCTCCCGGAGGCTCTGAATTTTCTGCGAAAGGAGAACGTAATGCGCTCGTGACGGTAATGAGTCTCGATATCGCGCTGATTAAAGTCGTCTTCGACGCTCGCCAAAATCACGAACGTGCAATTTTCCTTTTCAAAATTCTAATGCCTTCGTTAATGCAAATCAATTAACCTCAGAATGCAAATGAAAATTTACGTAGAATATCTCTGCCTCGAAAAGATTTCATTTCAACATTTATTTTCAGAGCAACTCCTATTTTAGCGATTTAAACGTACTTCAACACATTACAGCAACTTATTTTCACGAAACGGAATTTCTCTTGGGCAAAATTTTCAACATGTTTGATCGGCAATAACAAGAAATGATAAAGTTGCACAAGAGTGGTTTTGCGTGGCTTAAGAACAATGATATTGAAGTGCACGATAAGCTACTAGAGTTTGATCTTTGTTGTCCGCTAGAATCTCCCGAATACGATCCTTGATCGCGTTCTCGTGAGACTCGACGAATCGGCTCGGTGTACTGACGAGGATCGCCAAGGACTCCAGGAGGTGGCGCAACTCGTTTTGCAAACGTTGCGTCTTCTCCTCGCGGGCCTTCAGGTCTTCTGCAAGAGCAGGTTAAGGATTACGAGAAAGTGCGAGATCGAATCGATCCGCCGTGGTTTACCTCGTAATTGGCAGATCAACGCTTCCTGATTGGAAATGTTCCCCGTCGCGCTGCTTAAGCTTCTGTTCGCGTTCACAAGCTTGTCTCTCAAATCGTTCATGTCCCTTTCCATGACCCTGTACTGCATCTCCAGGCACTCTTTCTCCTGCATGGTAGCGAAATAATTAACGACGTGATATTCACTGGTCTCGCGGACCTCGGCTGTTTGATTAATTAATTAAGATAACGAAATCCCAGACAACACAGAACATAAAATCGGGACACGTTTGATTCGTGAAACTACACATTTACTTTATTTCATCCATTATTTCGTAACAATTACTGGACGTTCGGCCCGCATTACGTACCTAAATTATTAGCTACCAAATTTTGAATACTAGTTACCCCAAATCCTTTTTTCAGTGCATATTTTATTACAAGATATTTTAACGTATACAGATCCATTATCAAAATCATTCATTAAGTTCTCCACATAGTAAACACGCGCGTTTCCCTGATTATAAATATACCCGGAAGTAGTCCGGGGGCGCATTTATCGATCGACAGTATTTCGCACCTGGCGCAACCGGTCCAGATCGACCAGTTGACCGGACACCTGTCTCTGCAGTTGATCCTTCTCCGCGCTCGCGCGATCCAGGGCGTCCCGGCACGTCCTGAAATCCACCTCGACCTCCGTCAACTGCGTCTCGACGTTCGAGCTCTTGGTGCGCAGTCGATTCACCTCTTGCACGAGCTCCCCGGCCTTGTGAATCACCGTCTCGAGGCTGTGCGGCGTCTCGCTGTACTCGACGTTCAATGCGTGCGCCAATCTCCGTACGAAATCCTGCCGGGACAAATGTGAGATATCCCGAAGAATCGGGGCATCGGAGATCGCGGATATGAATCGATACGGCTTGATTTCTGCGATTGTGAGAAATAGACGGATAGGTCACGAGATATAGCGATATTGGAACGCGCGGGGGGGCACCTGCAAGTTCAGACGTGCGCGCTCCTTTAATTGGACCTCCTCCGAGATATTGTGCTCCAGCTGTCGGATTTTCTTCTCGTACTCCCGGATCTTCTCCTCGTGATACTTGACGTCACGTTGCAAGCCTTGAATCGTGATCTCGCTTCTGCCCTGGCTCGCGTATAGATTCCTCTCCCTCTCCTCCAATTCCTTAAATCGTTATCGAATTCTGCGAGACGTGCCGAATAGTCTAACGCCTCTCGATTACGCGCTCAGCGGTGCATTCGGAATGCCGATCTCCTCGAATCGGCGGGCCGATTAACGAGCGAAAGGGAAGAAGCGAATTGTCTCGGGACACGCGTTAACGAGGCGGTTTTCCCTTTAATTCCGTTCCGTTTATTACGCGGGCAAATTCACCTGAATGCGTTTCTTGAGGCTGGAGACCACGGCATTCTGCCTGGCCGCTTGCTCGCGGAGCTGATCAGCCTCCACTTGCAGCTCCACCACCCTCTGGTCCCGCGACCTCACGACGCTCTTCATCTCTTGCAGCTAAACGGGCCGAGGCGTTGAATTAATAACACGACCGTTTACCGAAAGCACCGACGCAGTAGAACCGATTACCGGTTTACCTCGGACATCAATCTGTCTCGCTTGTACTCGAGGACCGCCAGCTCGCTTCTCAGAGTGGTCGTCAGATCGTGAGTCATAGCGTCATCTGGGCCCACCTGAAACCAGAACCACATCCGTTTCGCTTATTATTAGTCTATTCCGTTTGCCTCGACATAACGTGGACAATTTTCGTACGAAACGTGTCAAAAGGCAGTTTCTATGCTACGAGACGAAGTCTATCGATTTTCGCTGGTCTTTACGTCGAGATTTGCAACGAGTATTCGAGATACAGTTGGTCCGTAAATTTATTTTCTCAGGAAACTTGTCAAATTTTAAACGAATGACGAAGAATAAAAATAATAATGAAAATGTTTGCAAATACGCAAAGAAACAAACACGTGCGTATGATAAACTGATTAATTTCCAAACTATTGCTAGCTTTAAAACAGTCACATTATTTAAGTGACATTCATATATTCTGTATATTTTTACTTCAAATGTAATAATAATTAAAATTTATTTGATCATTTAAGCGACTGTATTTGCTGCGTAACTTGCAAACAACGCATTTATTAACTAAATATGTCAAGAAATGTTTCTAAAAATACGGGTTTTTAATTTTTAAAAATTATTTCATGGTTAAAACATATGTTTGAATTTATAACTATTTATAAACAGAAATGAAAAATTTGTTAACACATAAAATATTAATAAATTAAAATATAAACCAAACTGACCGCCACGCGAGCGGTACAAAAAGAATCATACGTTCACTTTTACAGGATAATGAATGAATAATACATGTGTGTGTGTTCAAAGAACCCAGCCTCGGTAATAGACACGTCTGCTTATTTATTTAAGCCGCTGAGAGCGTTTTCGTTGATCCCTAGCAGTAGCAGTTCGCAGCGGCTCTGGCACAAGTTAGAATAACAATTGTTATAAATTATCGGTCTCATCATGCGCGCCGTGTCGGGTCGGGTATACAGTATTCCCGTTGAGTCCCGCCGCGGGCGAGCAAAGCCATCGTAAAGAAAGCCACTTTATTTCCACGAGCTTCCTACCGCGGCGGGGCTTAAATGCCGGAGCGCTCGTTTAAGCCGGGAATAGATTAGCGGCCCTCGCGTCGCGGCTTCTGAAGTTCCGACCTCCGACCTTCGCCTCGCTACGAAAACGCGGAACCCGCGAGTGCAGGTACTCGCGACGTCTACCGGCGACTCATAATGGCGCCCATTTCAACCTCGCGCGTGTACAACAAGGAAAAGCTTACAATGCGACGCGACTTGCGCTTTAGCTATCGAGTACCTCCGCCTGAAATTGCCGGATGGAATGTCGGCCGCAATGCGGATGAGTTAGTTTACTAGCGTCTATTCTTAGAACGTTGCTTTGAATTATTTACCTTCAGGCGCGTTTACGACGAAATTGTGTAACTTTGAAAGATATTTTCCAAGGCGACGCAATTCTTCGGGGGAATTGGAGCTCTCCTCGACACAAATATTTCTGCCTGAACACTGACCATCACGCATGATTCTTGGTTCCTTTTGTACGCTATTTATCATCGCTCCAACTGTGTCCTCTGACATTTTTTATATTCCTGTATACTATAATTTTATAATGCTTTTATCATTTTCTAAAATTAAAATTCTGATATTCTGAATATTATAGGAATTTAATACACCTGTCGGAATTGTTTTAACATATAAATAAATGTCCAATATATAAAGAAAATATCATATTGTATATAGTCAATTATATTTCTATTTCTAATAAATACTTACCAAGGAGTATTAAAGTAACCATTTTGGATCAAGTAAATATGATTTGAATACATTTCTTTCTTTCAATCAGATTCTAATCGTCACGTCAAATTATCCGAATAATTTCCTAACGTCGCAAGAAATTCAGTTGATCTATATATCTGCCGTTTCTCTTTTCACTTTTTCGAGCGCGATAACATCGTCGAAATTGCTCAACGAGACCGTATATTAAAGAACGTCGTATTAAATTGCTCCATCGCCTGCGGTCGGTCAAATATTTTTGATAAATTGAAGTGAAACCGTTTCATTCCGCGCGCGGGATATCGAGCCTCGACCGAGCAAATCGACGGCGATCCGTCAACACGAGGGATCGCGCGGCGCTCCATCGAGTGTCACGGCGCAATCAAGAAAGCGTGAATAAAGCGCCCGTTGCCCAAATTCGCGGACGAAATAAACACGGCTGGTTTATTCAGTTTTCGGTTACTTCGCGCGAACGAGACGGACGCGTCCGCCGGGCGTTGCGATACGAGACTCGACGCGTGGGACGTTAATTAAGTCGTCATTAATTGCCCGAATTGAAAGGACGCGCATGCCAGCCGAGCCGAGGCAGAAAGTCCGAATTATTAAGCAGCGAACCGGCGGAATATTTATGCCGGTAATTTCGACGCCAATTATCGTCGCGCTAATTAAATATTTCGTCGTGACAACCGAGCACGGAGCGGTCGCATACTTTTACGTTCCCCTCGCTACGGTCATTCACGTCGACACGTTTAATTACTTTTTAATAAATCCGACCCGTTGCGCGATCCACGCGGAATTAAATGTATACCGTCGAATTAGTGGCAACGTGAGAGTTAAGCCCGAGCGCTCGCACGGTGATTCAACGGGAATCCATTCCGCGGTTAATCACGATTATGAGCGGATTAGAATTTAACATGCAGAAAGACTTTTTCTCCTTCGCACTTTTTCCGTCCCGCCTTCTCGCTCTCTCTCTAACGCCTACGCTCTCCTTCTCCCTCCTCCCCCGATCCTATCGGCGAGTTTGCAAGCGGGAACGGAGAGGAGAGACCGTAATCTAACTTCGTAATAACCATCTTATTCCGTTCGAACGCAAACGAAAGTCGGGAACGAGATCATAATGGAATAAACACGAAGAGGTGTCTCGATGTATAGAGAATTTACCGGTTACACGTTTCCCTCCGACCGTTCCGCTAACGAGACGTCTGATTAAGTTGTACTTCATTTGCGAAGGGGCTCCGATCCGCGCGTTCCCGAATTAGTTCTCCCCTCCCTTCCATCCCTCTTTCATTGACAGTTTCAGTGAGTTCAACGTCTCGCCGGACCGTCGTGCGACAATTCTTCCCGATAACTCCTCGGCACTTCCTCGGCAGCGGACGCTGGAATTCGCCGCGTTAGAATCGATCTCGCCGACGTGTCCCGCGTAACAGACTCACTCGAAAACATGATTAACTACCTCGTCCTGCGTCTCGTCGGATCCCCGCGCATCCTCGCAGGAATTTCCGTTACACAATCCTATTTACGTGCCGGTGCCTTGTATTCCCGAGGCGTGCGCGAGAATCCGCTCGATCCGACTCGACTCGGAGTCCGCACTTTGCAAGTCCGCCAGTCGATCGCCCCGTAATGTCTTTGCCCTTTCTCTCTCTCTCTCTCTCTCTCTCCGAGGAGACAAGGAGAGAAAGCGCATCGAGGGTGGTTACGATCGTCACCAATTTCCAGGACAATCGGATGCGCACGGCGCAGACAGTTACGTTAGCGAAGTTTCGTCTGCCTACGACAGCGGATTACGTGACCCGAATCGCGCCGCCGAACGCCCGGGGCGACTTCGCGACCTGCCGCCCGCGCCTTCATCCAGGTGTAGGCGGGTAGGATAGGTAGGTGGATATAGACGCGGGTATCTGCACGGGAAAATCTACGCTCGCGAAATCTATTCCCGCCAGATATCGGGGCGAGAACGCGTTGCCGTGGAACCGTGCGCGGCACAATGGAACACACTACCCGAATTTATGGGCCAATGTTTCCACAATGATACCCTCTTGCCCCGTCGCCGGCGGTTCGCGCCGTTAGACCTGGATGCCTACTTTGATTAGCGCAAATCTATTCAGCAGCTTCCTCGGAGCGGAATCTCGCTCGAAACGTGTGAAAAGTGGCGGTATTTTCGCACGAAGTGATAATGAAAATATTGTCATTCGAGATCGCAAGAGAGAGAGAAAGTCTCGCTGAAGCTTGCGAGCGGGTTTTGCGCTCCTACGATTGCGAATGTTTCAATCGATCGGAGTGAATTTGTCCCGTTAGATTCGCTCTTCAGTTTCGAACGAAAATTCTATTCACTCGCTGCGACTCAGAGTTGATAATTCATTCTGTACGAGTGAAAAGCCAGTCGAATTCGAGCGACTGTCGCTCTATTTTTCGAATGAGATTTCGCCCGAAAAAATTTCGAGAATAAACGGAAACGTGTGCGTAGTGTATACAATAATACGAAATATTGTGCTACAAACCGGTCCAGCCGAATTTTTGTATTACTTTAACAAGGTGAAATATGTATGAATTCAATATATATCTGTGTACTTTTTAACATATTCCTCATGTTAAAACAACACGAACGTTTCAACGGACCGTTTTTACCACAAAACTTTTCACTGTATACATACCTTCCCCGCCATTCTACTCAACAGTGACACGCATAGATCTCTTCACGTTCGATTTTCCGCCCGTCCCGCTTTTAACTAATTGAAAGTATATTTTAGTGATATTGCGTGGTTCCCCTCTATGCGAGAACGCGGAGATAAAACACGAGGTATCGCCTTTACGCCGAGTTGGCCGAAGAGACTCGAATTTCAGTCAGTCACTCGCGTTTGAACGCACGAGCGGGATATTTAATTCAACGTTATCCGGCCGGTGGATCTCAGATTAAAATCACGCGTGTCCGGATCGGCGCGATTCTAGCCGCATCGGTTAGCCCGCGATTTAATTACGCGACGGCCAACGTGGTCGCCGTCGAACGTCCCGCGAATGGGATCGTTATTATTATCTCCGTGACCCGAAAATAGTTTCACTGCCCGGATAAGTTACGTTTTCGCGGCATAATTCCGCATAACACCGGCCGGAATACCCCGAATTTCCACGGTGGTTAAGTTCGACGATATTGAATACCCATTATTCGCCACCGTCCATAAATATCCCGAGCAGTCTGAGCGGGAAACGACCGTTGAATGAACGCGACCTATTTACCGCCGGTATTTGCTCTGTAATACAAGCGGATTTACGGGACGGCCCGCGCGGGGCACGTATCTGCGTGAAAAAAAATTTGTAAATTCGTCACCGGACAGCGGAGAGGGAGGCGGATAAACAGAAAAGAGGGGGAGAGGAAGAGAGAAAGGGAAAGGGAGGGAGAAAGAGAAAGCAAGATCTCCCGGCGCGTGTGAGTTTGAAATTTTGCGCACGCGACCGTAATAAAACCGCAATAAAATCTCAATGTGAACACGTGAGCGTTTTGGCAAGTGGGCGTGGCGCGTTTAAAGTAATTTTAATCTCCGCTCGCTAAGTCGATGATATTCATCGCACACGGGTGACGATCTCCACAGTCCGCTAAAAAACGAAGAGATCGCGACGTGAAAATGGAAAAAGTGGATTTACGCGGCCCGCATGCGAGATATTTCTTTCCGCGTGTACATTTGCATAATGCTCACGGGACGTTTAAAATTTCACCGCCGAATGCAAAAATGCACCACCCGGCAAAATGTTAAATTACGTGTAGCCGGTAATGTCGCTCAATGGCAAGATAACACATCGTACAAACGCGCGAATGGTAATAACGGTCACTTTGCGAACGCTTTTCTACGTCAAAGGGAGTTTCGGTATTTTTTTTTGCTCTTGAAGCGACCGAGGTACGATATTGTATTTTTAGAAAATGGATACGTACCCCGGCGTGTTGTGCACGCCGCGATATTGTGCGGCTACGGATATTTGAATAAACATAGGAGGGCATTGAATTTTGCCTCCATTCGGCGGACTGTGCATACACGCGGCAGCAGTTTACACCGTAAACGCGACGAGTAATTATTGTTACCCGTTTTTTTGTGTCGACGATAAACATTCATTTGCGTCGGAGCTTTTCTCTTTTTACATGTAACAGCAGAACCATAAGCTTCGTTCGCGGAAATTTATAGCGTAACATTCAACGTTGCAGTATATAAGCAAATAAGATCTTTTGGATAGTAAGAGGATTAATATTAAATGCGGAAACGTGTGGAATTCTGTACTTACTCAGAATGTTTTCAGTATTACGCCGCAACTAAGCTTACACACACGCACTACTCGTTAAATTGCAGTTTTGTTAAATTATTTTCTTGGGTAAAATATGGAATTTTTTTTAATATACATAAGATATATAATTAATTTTGAGCGACAAAATGTGCATATATCGCGAAATTCGACAAAGTTAAGTAACAGAGAGATAAATACGTATATATCTAAAGAGAGAGAGAGAGAAAGAGAGAGAGAGAGAGAGAGAGATTAATATACGTAAGTCTGCCGGAATCTACATGTAATTAAAGCTATGTAATATCGGTACATTAATATGCTGGTAAATTTGGCCAATATTCATACAGACCGCTCAATCGACTCGTTCGTTCGTTATAATTACGCCGACTAGATGCATTAATGAATAATTAATTACCACTAGAGATCTGTGATTATTTTCGTCTTTAAACAATAACATAATTATAATATTATACATAATTTAACAGGACCACGTACTATCGTGCGCTCGCATTTTTCTCGCGCAATTAAAATAATAGCGAGATAAACTAGGACATTTGCAGTTCCCTGGCAAAAAGAAAAAAGAACCAAACTAGGTCATTCGCATGTATATCTATTTTTACATTTTATAATTAAAATCGTTTCGCACGCCGGTTTATTTTATCATCCGCTGAATCATCGCGTAGCGAGCGTGCCAATTTCTTTCGCGTATCTTTCGTTTAAATATCGTTGAAATAAATTACACGGAGAAGCGAAACGACGACGTTGTTAACAGTGACGTTCCGTCCGGGAAGTTTCGCAACCGTTAATGAGGCAGAGTGACGAACGAAGCACGTGAGATGAAATTAAAAAGTATCAGTCTTGACCGAGAAATATCTTAGAGCACTGCACAGAACTGCGAAAGTAGAAGCGACGTGTGCCCCGGGAAACGTCCGATCAATCCGCAGCCACTGCGAGCGCAGAAACTCGGCAGGAACTCGGGGGGAGATGACGCGGGTTTAAGTGCCGCGGCATCGACAAAACTGGATTAAGCGACACGGTCGTTCTCCTTCCGTCGCGCAGCCGAGTAAGATAAGTCAGTCCCCTCGGTGGCGTCCGATAAATTACGATCGACTTCAAAAGCACGCGACAGCGCGGGCGAACTAGATCGAAAGGGGGAGGGGGGGGTAGCGACAGGTGAAATCGATGCCGTGCAACGCTATGGCAACCGCGACCCTCGTTCACGCGCGCGAGTCGATACGCCCGCGATTCGCGTGATCGCGGACCGGAGGACCTCGTCGGCGCGAAAGAGAGAACCGATAATGACGAACGTGACGGAATCTCGCGAGCTACCGCGATCGCTAATGACGGTAGCGGCGGCGACGCGATCGACCGAGGACATTCCGATCACGTCTGCGAGGGTCCTCGACAGCTAATCTGTTTTGCTCGCTGTGATTGCACGTTCGCGCATAGATTAGATTAAGATGTTAGATCAGATGTTATTGATAATTACTGAATTTATTAATCCAACGAAGTCGTCGTTTCAAATAATTAGAATATCGTTTATTTCAGAAGAACTTTCTTTTTCTCTTCCAATAAAAAGATAAACATATTTACTTATTTATTTGCTCTATTGCTATTGTAAATTATACCTTTCATTTTTATAATTTATAATTTCTAATTATTATTTATTATTGCTTTTTTACTATTATACATTTAGTTTTAATTAGGTTACTTTTAATTATATTAATGAGGTTCGCGTCCCGCGATTTTGCGAGGCCGCACTTCACGGAACGCCCCGAAAAACGCGGAGAACATTCAACCGGGCGACGTGATATTAAAATAAACGCATCTTCGCCGCTGCATAGAGCCTCCTCAGCTAAAAATAGCATTGTGATACTCGAAGCCGGTTGATCGGAACAGACTCAATGTGGCGAATCGATCCGCCGGCCGATCAATGCCCCATCATCAAATAACTATGCTTGATCGTAAAGTGATCAATATTGCGCGCGCGCTTCCGTTATTGATCTGTTGCCCTTCGATGAGCGCACTGTGTACGTCCCGGCATGTATACATTGAAAGCCTTTGTAGCGGATGATACGGCGGTGCACGTGACCCCCGATACGATTAGCATGTGAATGCGTTTGTGCATGTTGCATGTACCTACGTGATACCGCGACGGGGGGAGGGGGAGAGGGGGGGGGGGNGCTCACGGTATATACCGCGTCGTCTACAAATCTCCGAGCTCGGGCTGAATTCTGCTAAGCCCGACGATACCGTCGCGACTCGTCGCGCGTGTATCGAGAAAATAGCAGGGAAATTATAACTACGATATACTCGCGCTATACTCGTGCCAGGGTAAGGGGTAGGAACACGAGAGGAAGGAAGGGGGCGGGAAACGTCTGCCGAGAATGCTTCGCGCCTCCTTGGATGAGGCCTTGTGATTTGCAACGTGCGCATCCGTTGTTGGGAATAATAAAACATCACCGAAGGCGTGACTCGCAGTAATACTCGTATTTTTATTAACGTTCGCGCGATTACACACTGTCGACAGCGAATACCCGAGGAAGCGGACTCTCTGTGTCTCTCCCTCTTACAACCGCAGTACTTCGGGGGTGAATTCACAAGGACCGGACGATCCACGCGTATCGTCACTCCGGTCCGTTACATCGTCCTGCCGTTCGTTCGTCGGAACAAAACAACCCGCAACAACAACAATAATTACTCTCGTGTAACTGTCGCTCGACGGTTGTGCGCCACCCTCATCCCTCTATACGACTGCGTGCGTGCGTGCGTGCGTGAGTATGCGTGCACTGTGGCCGATACTGAGGTGAGAAAGAGAGAGAGAGAAAGAGAGAGAGAGAGAGAGAGAAGAGCGAGCGCAATGCTCGTCGTCATCGATTGACCTTCCGGGGCGAGGAGATGCAGAGCGTCTCGAAGATCCTCAAGTCTTCCTCGTCGGCTGCCTCCTGAGCCGCTTGCGCCTCCTGCGCCTCGGCGTCGGAAGCCATACCGCTCCTCCGTCTCTCTCCTGCCGTCCTCCCAGGTCGCGAGCGAACGGGGTAAACGCGGGGCCGCGCTCACAGGCGCGACATCCTCCGCGAGCAGCCGCGAACAGCCTGCAGGGGGGTAGAAATACGCGACACCGACCAAGCGCGGCCTACCACCGAGCGGTGGGTAAAACGACGAGCGTCGCGACGGCGGCGATCGAAACGCATCGATCCGGGGAGGAGGGAGACAACGTGTGTACTCTTTGCGCACGCCTTCCCCAGAGGAACAGCGGCTCTCGACCCCTCGGTGAAGAACGGTCTTTGCGTAGGGACGAAGGAGCGCCTTGATTTCCCGAAGTGCTCCCCTTCGCATGGGGTGCTCTCGAACTCCTCGCGGGTTGAGGACACTGTACGTTGGATTGTTCGATAAGTTCCTGAAGGAAAGATCTGGTATCAACATTTGGTTGACGCATGCCGGCCGCATGTTTGATTACTGCAACGAAATAATTTATTTCTGTGTATACTGTCCAGCAAACACCACAAGTAACATAACTGCAGTCACTCGACTGCAGGTTTCAAGGCCGATATTTTAACAGTCGGGCATAACTTTATTCATGATGTAATGTATCGACATTGTGTTTTCACGATGGCTGAGGGTCATCGGAAAAATGAAAAAAATCAAGCTGTGCCTGAACTATGTGGATATTAGCTTTGCGTTTTTCGTCAAAATCTGCACGCTGAAAGGATTTGGTAACAAGTACCAAAATTTGGTTTATATTAATTTCTAATTAACTTGTTATTATATAATATATGCCACGACTGCAGTTATATTACTATTACCTGGCGTTTGCTGAATTTCGCAGTATACGGAATTAAATTTTATTAATATTTGGTTGTAATAGTCAAACATTTGGTCGACATATATCAGCGAAATTTGGAAGGAAAGTCTGTGCCTATGCGCCTGTGTATGTTAAAGAAGTCGAGGCTTGAAATTGACGATTTGTATTGCCGTCCTCCTTTCGAGATGATTGATTAATTCGAATGTCTCCTGCTCTTCGTAATCTCTCTCCTATTTACTGTTCTTATTCGCCTAACCGTAAGAAGCTGTAATTTTGCAAAGATTAAGATTTCATTTTGCTAAAGTTCTCGTTTCTTTCTTTTGCAGTTAATACATCCCGATTACACACGAAGAGTCTCTCGCGAGATTCAAAACGTGACAGACTAACGTGTTTGATTAATAATAATTACCGTTAATCGTATCATTAGAAGTTCTCTTCTAGAAGATCTCTTTGATTTTCTATTAATAAGAATGACACTTTTTGAAAATGAAAGTTATCCTGACCCTTCGAGTCTTATTTGGAAATATAAAATCACTGAAGTCACAAAAGTATATCAAAGAGTGAGGTTTCCGGATATAGCCTGGGTATTTCAGAACAACTGGTGGTGTGCGCAGTGTGGATTCCCGAACGCAATTTTAAGTTTAATGAACTTTACTCTGATTGGTTAAATTTCAATTCGATCTCAATCTTAGGGTCTGTTTTTTTTTTAACTGCAATGCTGAGGTGGTGTTAAAAAGTTAGAGTGTGACAGGTGTATGTTGTCTCGTCCTAACTTATTGCATCAGTTCAGCAGTGCAGCTAAAAAAACAGACCAACTTGTAGTCTAATATTTTAGACTGGTATTACATGCATCGTTCGACGAGTTTGTGGAACATGCTGATTGGCTATCGAATAGGGAATTTCGACAGTGTCTAGAGAAAATGTCAGAGATCCTAGAAATATTGTAATGAAGAAAAATATCCTATTTCCCTAAAGAATCGATTAAGAATCATGCATCTCTAGATTATCGTACATTGGACATTACAGATAATGTGAATCCTACATTAGGGTACTATTTCACGTTTCGTACGACGAATTTGTCAGATGTGCCGATTGGCTGTTGAATGGAGAATTTCCAGGGTCCCTAATATTTTTTCTAGGTACCCTAGAAATTCTCTATCCGGCAACCAATCGGCACATCCGACAAACTAGTCGTACGACACTAGTCGTTACTTGACTTCAATGATAGGAAGTAGTATAACGTTACTTTCAGACGTGGACAATTGAGTACATGAAAAAAATGGTTGAAAACTCAACAAAAAAAGCTAAAATTTTATTAAGAAAACCCCTCATTTTTAGACACTCCAAAATATACTCATAAAAGTAAACATCTCTAAAAATTGGACATATGAGAAATCGTTGAAAAATCATCGAAAAGAGGGTTAAAATCCTACAAAAATCTCTCATTTTTATATACCTCAAAATAGTTTTTCATTTCTGAACCAAAAGAATTGGACACTTAAAAAACCATATAAGAAAAACCATGCGCGTGGACGTAACGTGTGACGCATGATTAAAACCCATCAAAAAGGTTTAAAATTACTAAAAAATTTAGTAGCCCAAAATGGCTTTTCATTTCCAGACCAAAATAATAAAGAGATAGATACTCATAACGTGTCTCTCCGTGGTTTCAATTCCGTATTGGCCACTCATTCTTTTTTTATTTGGAATAATATTGCGGTAATACCATTGTCAGTAGGGTACGTATTAATAAAAATCGGCAGTTATGATCAAACTTGTCATTTATTTATTTATTAATTAATATTGGAACTTAAGTCTATTTTTTTCCTATTCTACGACCAACGAGGACGGACTGGCATGATCTGCATCGCAAACGCGTATTGTGTCTTCGTCAGCGCGTGGACGTAACGTGTGACGCATGATTAAAACTGTTTATGTTCCCGCTATTTTAGCACCTGAGCATGCATCCACGATGAATGAGTGGACTTCAGCGACATTACAGAAGGCATCTGGAACGCCAAGAGCGCAAGGAGCAACCCAGGAAGCGATACCGCTCAGTTCACCATCGCAGACGAGCGGGCCACCACTGTCACCCTGTGGAATGCAGAAAGAAAAAAGAATGCCCCCTTTAATTTCAATATTTTAGTTGCCAAAAGATTGTTTGCACAGTAGTATTCGGATATAAATCATATTCGGATCAATTATTCAGGGGCTGTCGAGGAAAAGAAAATTATATTCCCGTGAATACATCCCGTATAGACACCAAGAGTCCCTCCGAAACAGACTCTAGTTAATATAATCGACGATTTAAAATCATCATCAGTCAGACATTTTACCTGTTCCTGTTCTTGCTAAAATAGATAGAAATGGTAAATTTTTCGTTCGGATGATAAATGACACAAATAGAAACTGGTGCTGGCGATTTTGCCGGTTATTCGTCGATTAGTATAATCCGAATTTAGCGAGACATTCTAATCCAGTAGATATTAACGGTAACATTACCATATCAATATTATAATTTCCCACTCATTAATGGAAATTCAATATGACATATGTTATATGTGCACAGTTATATCTGTCTGAATTCGAAATTATAATATTGATGTAATGTTAATTTCATTTATTTATCAAGATGATATTTACGCTGCAAGCACCGATTCCACGCCTGGCGTATGCGCACAGATGAACGTTGTAGAGTGCAATATTTCCGTGAGCCTTTTTGCAACGATCGTTGTCAACTATCTTAGTGTACGCCTTGAGAAGGTACGGCGCAACGGGCACGAACGAAACTGAGCTCGTCTGACCCCATCCGGACATGATGCACTGAGTACCAACGCTAGGCTTTCGGGTGGCCAGTTTAATAGAGGATTGGAGTTCGTTGAACTGGATCGGTTCTTTGAGCTGAAACAGATGAAACGAGCACGATCGGATTGATAAAACAGGAAGGAGATACATCGTACGTCGGGCGTTTGTAAAAATTAAAGCATTCTTGTTGCGTTTAGCGCCGAGCGTTGCAACGGACATGTGTATTTTAATATATATTAAAAATTATTTTAATATATAATTATATATAAACAATTCCCTAACAGAATAGAAAATAATATGAAGGGATCGAATTTTCAGGTAATACCCAAATAATACTCATGAGTGCATTAAGGTGATAGTGACAGCATTAATGTAAAGTTAAAACAGGAATATTATGAGAACTTGCGTTAATGGATGAAATGTGTATACTTATATGGCGTCATACAAGAAGAATCTCATTTTTATGTCAACTATTGAATTCGATAGGATAAAAAGTAAAACAGAAGAAAAAAATATTTAAAACATTACAGGTATCTACATATTGAAAATATTTCTATTTGTAAAATGTCAATACCCAGTATGTTTCATATGTTTCGATCGATTTTAAAGTAAAATATAAACCAGAAAAACATTTAGGAAAAACGTTGGAGAGAGCAAAAGTAGGGTCTAGATTTCCCACTTAACATCGCGAGTATGAAATTGGTGATTTGGATCTGCGAAAAGGCACTCGTGTCGCGTGTCTCGATGATGCATTTTACATCGTCGCTTCCAATTATACGAGTGTCGATTTAAACACAGCTCGTTCGCATACGCATGCTTAAGTGGAATAACAATATATGGACTCACTTTGAGCACAGCGACGTCGTTCGCCCAGGAATGCTCTTCGGTTCCCATATAATTTGGATGAACTATACCGTATTTAACTGGACGCTCTACGCCTCCGCTGCTTTCCAGAATTCCAGTGACAACTTTTAAGCTGTTATAAGGTGGTGGTGCGACGTCAACCAAACAGTGAGCAGCAGTCACTATGCATGTCGGGGTCACGATGCTGCAGCCGCATATATGGCCGTCCGGCACTCTTACGCTACATTGGTGCGGAAACTCGCCCGGCGCAGCGGGCGTGCCGCCGACAATCGCCTCGGGCTCGTCTGCGAACGTTTCTGCAAAGAATTATGCAAAAATAATCCCCATGAAGTTTCTGCAAGAGAATGATCTCAAGGAGCCAAAAACAGCAGTACAAAATATCCTGTTGGAAATATTGTTATGTAAAATTAGACCTGATAAAATTATACAGGACATCTTATATTGTATAAAAGTGGCCGCAATTAGAAATTTAGAATTATTTTAAAAATATCTCCAGAGTTGGGAATAACACTTTTACAAAATAACTCATTACCGTTATTCGTTATTCGCTGGAAAAAATCATACACTGCCATTACCATTATTCGTTATCTACTAAAAAAAAAATACTCCGTTAATTATACTTATCTTGAAAAGGGCAATTTATTATCGTTATCGTTACTTAAGAAGTAAGGATTCGTCGCAATGTCCATTATTTGTTTCACGAAGTTTTTAAAACATCTTTTACGATTTATTACTCATCCCACATATTTTACATATCCCAAGTAACAATAAAAATAACCATTATATTCATTAGTGTTATTATTTAAAACATGTAATTATTTTATTTTTACCGTTATTTATAAAAAACGAATGACATAGTTACCAAACTGAAACAAAATCTTCCATGAAGACTCCCGTTTCTTCTTTGAACTAATTCGATACGCAATTTTTATCGAAAACTGACGCGATAGATGAGCGAACGTTTTGTTGAAAGCGGAAATAACTGTCTACAATATCTTGTTGAACTATATTATTTAGTTTTACTTACGTTGTGCGAAAACGCCAAGTACTAAGACAACAATTAGAGGCAACATATTTGGTGATTATAGATGCGGATCGGGTCAGTAATAAAATCGCGAGTAGGGAGAATCCAACGTCCATTTTATATTGAGTTCTTAATATCACGTAACGAACAGGTGGTTAATATTTGTTACGGCAAATAAGAGCACCTGACATCTGCATTTCGATAAGACAAATGTGACAGAAATAAAAAAATGTGATCTTAATTACAGCGCAAAATGAAAAGTCAAGGTAAAAAAAAAAAGGAATCTTAATTATAACGCAATATGAAAAGTTAAAATAGTTTGAGGCCGTGACAATACTATTGAAAAGATAATAATTCATTCAACATGAAGAAGCTCGACAAATCTGTGCTAAATGTTTGTAAATACGATATATGATAGCTGACATTATCACAAGAAAAGATGATTCAAACTTACATAATGTTCAAAAACTGAAAAGGAAGTAATCCTTTTTCGCACTTTGATGTATTAGATGCTTACAAGAGTTCGTAAGGTCACAAATAAATAGCTGTAGTAGCGACTTAGAAATTGTTTTCCTTTAAAGTGCCTTTAAGTTTTTATACGAATTTCCTATATGGATCCCCGTTTATTTTTTCCAATAGAAACATTTGTAAATTATTTTTTAATACTCACGATTGTTTTATTTCATCTGCGTAAATTAATTATTATTATGAAAGTGTAATTTTCTATTTTTAGTTCGGGATTGATATTTCGTATGTATGTAGACATACAATATGTTCATAATAGTATGTAAAAAAAGAAAATGATGCGCGCATGTTGTACGGAATATAAATCCGTACACGGTGCCCGGCTCCTCATCTACGAAAATTGCGGATGTAGCACGGACATGCTCCAAACGATAATATTATCGGCAGCACTGGAAAATGGATGTAGCATCGTAGTTCCGCCTTAAAAATAGGTGCAGATGGCGCATCAAACAGTGCTTCTTCGCGGTCCTCCGAAAATCTATGTCCATGGCTACTCTGTGGGTGCTTTCACATGCTGCGTAACATGCGTCAGCCAATCAAATCCGCCATGGTAATTGGGTAATTGAGACGATTTGATTGGCTGACGCAAGTTATGCTCATGCAAGTTACATCGCATGAGAAAATAGCCTTATTGTTCATTACATGCCAGAAAAGCCAGATAAAGCAGTTGAAAAATTTCTGATTCTGTAAACGTGAATCGGACCGCAGCCTATGAAAACCGGCCTAAATGTCGATGGTTAAAACAGATACCGACATATCGTCGGTAATTCAAGATGGCAACCGCTCAGTGAAGTGTAAATTTACAGTTCTGTTGCACACGTGCTACGTAATTGTTGATTATTGACGATGTTTTCTCGATTTTGCAACTTGTGTCATCAAACTACGAAAGTTCAGTTCGTAAATTTGCAGAGATGCTATGTAAGTGCGATTTTTATTTCCTCTTATTCGATTTTCCCACTTAATATTATATGAAAAATTTTGGACATTCTGCATACGGAGAACTTGTATAAATTAACATTATTTGTTACAGAGGAAAGGTTTTAATAACAAAAAGAAAAGTAAAGTGACCAGTATTAAGTTACCAGAAAAGACCGAAAACAGAACACCTATCATTGCCTGCAGGAGAAAGGAATTCAACTTTTACAAGGGACAAACATATTCTAAGTTTGAGCCTATATCGCTGGTTACCAAAGGATGGCATCATTATAAATCCAAAGGGGATTACTTCTTTATACATCCTCTTGAAGATGTACGGTATTAATTAATTATTAATTTCTCACTATTTGGTATTTAATATTTCCTAAAGTTATTTTTATTTGTGAATGTCTTCTATATATTGTCAATATTTCAGGTAGAAACGGAAGCATATGGTAAAATAGATTCTTTTGAGGACTTCGGGTTAAATTTGAAACTGATAGATATTTTAGAAAGATATAGCATTACAAGGCCTCTAAAGATACAGATAAATGGAATACCCAAAATAATGAATGGTGCAAACACTATCATAACAGCAGAAACTGGTTGTGGAAAAACGTTGACTTATCTCCTGCCTATGATACATAAGATTCTAACATGGAAAACATTGAAGGAGAGATCGTACAATACCCCATTGGGACTGATCGTAACACCCACACGAGAATTAGCATTTCAAATTGGGGTTTGTATTATACATTCTTCCGGCAGAGCTAATTGTACGTGTATATGCATCTTTGACGAGCATATCTTTTGCAGCTGGAAGTAGAAAAGATATGTCAATATCTTAACATCATTACAAAGACTATTACTGGTGGAAAGACAAAAAAGATATTGTTAGATCCTCCCGTAGGGTATGTCGATATCATTGTGGCTAGTTTTGGAGTTATCAGTAAGTTAACCTCAAACAATGTTTACGATCTAAACATGGTCAGGCACATTGTATTGGATGAAGCAGATGCATTATTCGACGAGACGTTTGAAGATAAGCTGCAAGTGTTCTTGAAAAAAGTGCCGGTACGTTTACAAGTTTCTTCATTCATGTTGCTGATCTAACATTTATAAATCTAAACATATCTTTCGTGAAATATATTTTAAGGTCGGCTTTGTGCAAAATATAGATAATGCTGAGTTTCCGAGCAGTGCCCAATTCACGCTAACGTCCGCAACTATGCCTGGCAGAACGTCCGAAGTTCTGGGTAATATTGTAAACGTAGGTGCTCCTGGAATTGATGTAGCGCTAAAATCACAGGGGTCTCATGTTCGTTTATTATCTCGCAGGTGGAATCTTTAGTACAGGTGACTTCAGACAAACTGCATCACGTTCTCGTGCCACAAAAGTTTATGAGAATTGGGCCAAGCGACAAACCGAGGGAGCTTTTGAAGTATATCAAGCCGAAGGTAGCGAACAAGGAGCCGGTGATCATATTCACCAACAGCAGTCGCACTTGCAATTGGGTCGACATGTTCTTGTCCAACAGTAACATAGAATCGGTTCACTTGCACGGTACCATGCCCGTGTATATGAGAAGCAACAAGTATGCCAACTTCAAGAGTGGTAGGTGCAACGTGTTGTGCACCACCAACGCGGGCTCCCGAGGTTTGGACACGGTATCGGTACGCCACGTGTTGAACTACGAATTTCCGTTCGATACCGCTGATTACATACACAGGTATTTAATAATCTATCTCATATGCCGTAAATCTGAGTTATGTGCATGCGTATTCACGCGACTAATTCCTAAGCAGGCAACATGAAATGTCGATAGAACTTATAAATTTATGTGCTATTATTTATATCCTGCATTAGAAATAATATTGCAAATACACGGTTAAGACTCAGAGATGTACAAGTTGAAATTAGTCAAAGTCAATCCGAAAAGTAGAAGCATCGTCGGTATTTCTTTCCCTTTCGAATTTAATAGTATCGTATTACAATAGTAATAATAGTTGCAATGATATTATACATGTCGACATTGTGGTATTATATTATTGTGTACGAGGGAAAAAAAGCTCTGTTTCTGCAACGGAATGGGGACCAGGTGAAAACTCGGTGACAAGAAATGAACATCCCCGCGACCGAGAACATTCGTGATGAGCGTTCAACCGCGTTAAAACTCGGTTGAGACAACAAAAGAGCTGAATTGACTGAACAGGAACCTCCTACAGGAATCTTTCTGTTCTTATGACCGAGTTATCGTCTGGTCCCCAGGCAACGGAAAATTCATTCACACCAACGGAATTGTTTTTCTCCGGAATTTCTATACATATGTGCAAGGCGAACTTCAACAAACCGTTGCGGTTTCAGATGCGGTAGAACCGGAAGAATTGGCAGCAACAAGCACTGCAGGGTGACGAATTTTGTGAGCACTATGGCGGAAATCGGCCTGGTGCGGAAGATAGAGTGGGCGACGCGGAAAATGAAACCTATACCGATCTGCAATATTTACGATTCGCAGAAAAACGATATTTCCGAAGAGCCGCTGGACTTGAACGCCGACGATACGAATGTCCAGGAGGAGGAGGAATTGAGCCCAATGCCCTTTAATGTACCATATTAGAGTATCGTGCAAATAAAATGTCTCCACTCGTTTAATTTTCTCACGGTTACGCGGAAGTTACGCGAAGTTGCTGCTCGATAGCCGCGGGCTCGCGTCGATAACGTTCGCTTTTTGCGTAGCTTATTTCATTCAAGTTCCTCGAAGACAGTCGCGCTAGCGCTTTGCGAAGAAACCCGCGGAGTGCTGTGTCCGATCGACCGATTAAGCGAAATTAGCGTCGCCTCTAACTCAGTTTGATCTCTTAAAGAGACTTCGTCCCGAATCATCGTGCACGTCGACTGGTCGCGGCTTGTCGGATTAATTACCGCGGCCTACGCCGAAAGTTGTCCGTCGGAACTTCGTTCGGGCACGCACCTCCCCTCTTTCCTACGAGCGAACTTCTTTCGAATTCACTTTAATCTCACCTTTTCGTAGGCACATTACGCGTAGATAATGACACTGGAGCAATTTTCGCTCGTAGGTCCCATGGATACGGCGCGTTCGTCGCGGACGAGGGAATTAATCGGGCGTCCTACGCGGCCCGAACGCTTCCCCCGCCCGCTTCCTCGGCTTCTCCTGGTCTCTTTTATCGCGCCGATTCCTGAATTCCGAGTTTCAGTTTCCAGGGAGGAAACCACGACCCACACACACAGCGCACGTGCGTGTGCCCATCCGTTCGTCCAATGTCTCGTCACGTCCGGCCGGCACTCCCACACCGGACGCCCACACGCGCGGCAAATAGCAATACTCCCCCGGACAGTGGCAGACCGTCCGTCTAGACCGTCGTTGCCGCTGGTCGTCGTCGTCATCGTTGCTTTATTATTCGCGCTGGGTTTTAGCGAAATTAAACGCGCCCGGCACGCGTCGCCGTTTGTTCGTGCCACGTGGTGGTGGGTGCGCCGGGTCGTGTCACCGCGGCACACGAAAGAACCGTGTCCCACGATAGCGTCCCATGAGAGACGCCTCGATGGGGAAACGAAGGACGAATTACGTCCGCCAATACCCGTCAGCCGGTGCGTTATTCGCGAGAAACGGCGTGAACGGCTCGCGGCCCTTCAAGGAATAGAGATAATAAGATATAAAAACGTTTCATATATACATAAAACAAAAAACAATATATATATATATTTTTTTTTTCTAATGAATCTGTCAGTATTAACACTCTTATCATTTGCTCAATAATTATCGACTGACTTTTCCTTGTGTATTGATGATCATTAGACATTTTGAAGGTTGACTGTGAATCAACTTCTAAGCACTGTAGGCACAAATTACATAGAATAGAACTTCGACGGTGTTCCTAATCCTAGTCAGATTCCCATACGAAAATATTCAGTCACTCTAACGGAGTGTCGTTCTTCCCGCGCACGAATGTACCCGGTCACGGTAACAGAGGTATTATTTCTTGTCACCGAGTTTCCACCTGCTCCCTATTCACTCGCAGGAACAGCTTCTTCCCGTGCGCGCGAATTTACCGTAGAGACGCGCCGGCGAATGAACGCGTTATATCTGTCGGGAATATCGTTCGACGATTTGCGCAATGCGCTCGCTAAGCGGAGCTCGAACTTTTACCGCGCGCATCTATCCTTTAAATGCCAATTAAGGTATCTTTCTTCCTCCGTTCTCCTATGACGCGTGAGACTCAATTCAATTTAATCTCGTCCCGTTAAATGCAACGAGACGGGGCTTTACATTCTTAATTATCTCCGGTCGCCTCTATTCCGCCTCTGTTCGTCGTCTCGTGCGCCACGTCTTCCCCGTGGTTGCTGTAATCGCTCGAGACGAGATGGTTTCGCGCTCCCGGACACGCTTCTGTTGCGTTCGCGATTTAACACGCGTCGTTAGCGTCCACGCGCTCCGAAAGTGCCGCGGTCACGCCTTTAGTACACCGTCATTAAAGTTACATCTGCGAGCGAGCGTGCCGCGAGGAACGGTAAATGCGAGCGATGAGTTGCCGGTAGTGACGGTGCGGATGATAATGGACTAATTAGCGTGGGTAGCCGCGTGACATGTAGGACAAGGGGCAGCTCGGAGACGGCCGGCGGTGTAACATCTACGCGGGAGATCTCGCCCGATCTTAACCAGACCCGTACGTGCCGCACGCACAGCTGCCGACAGGCGTCGTAAACCACGCTGTGGTTTCGCTGGAGTTTATTTAATCCGTTTCCCCATCTCTAAAATTGGACGACTCCCTGAAATGAAATGTTTTCAATCGAGCGACCTTTGACGTTCCTGCGCGGGAAAAATAATTCCGGCGTAACTGAATTTCTCCTGGGGACCGGATGAAAATCGGACTGTAAAAATAGAAAAATTCCTGTAGGAGGTTCTTTCCCGATCGATTCAGCTATCTCGTCTTAAAGTTTTAAGTTTGTATTCACGGTTGGATCTTGTATATTTAAGACCGTCTCAAGTTCATCATCGGTTGCTTCGTAGCTTCGGTGAAATGAGCTGTGCAGCGTTCGAAGATGAACTTAAGACGGTTTTAAACGTAAGATCTGAATGTGAATACAGCCTCAGTGCAGTTGAATGTTCACGCGAATGTTCTCAATTGCGGTAACAGAGATATCATTTCTCGTCCTTATTCAGTTACAAGGACTGACCCGAGTAGCACAGTTAGTTTCACATGTGTTCTTTAAGCATATGCGGTGCGATTATGAAACGTTACATACGTTTAAAGGGCGTATATGAAGCTAATATGCGCTACCTGGGGAGTTCACTTTCCTTGCGACCAGTTTCAAACAGGTAGGATAGAGCGGGGCTCTGTCCGTCCAGTTCAGTACTTTACAGCTGAGAAACACGAGTATGCATTGTACTTATGTCAGTTTTGGTGCTTCTCTGTTTGTATAATATATTAGGTTGGTGCGTATGAAATGTCGCATTCTCTTTACATGCGGACGTTTTCCTCCCTGTTTTCGTTATACTTTTGTATTTGGCATAACCTCATTCATACTCGTATTGTCCATTGCCAGAGACTCATTTCAACAAAATAGGTTTTCTCGAAGGTCTTCCCTTTTTTATTTCTTTTGAGTTTATTACCGATATGAATTCTGCCGACATTCGCGTCATTTTCTTATATGAGTACAAACTTGGTAATAGTGCTGCAAAAGCTGCACGCAACATAAACCAAGCGTTTGGGGAGAATACGGTTAACAATCGGAAAGTGCAGCGTTGGTTCGAAAAATTTCGGACTGGCGATTTTTCACTGCAAAATGAGCCGCGCGGAAGACCCAAAACGTCTGTGAATAATGATGACCTGAAGGCTCTAGTGGAAGCGGATCCAGCCGTATCCACGAGGGAACTTGCTATCAGGATGAAAGTTGACCATACAACGATATTGAGACACCAAATTGTACTCCCATCGCTTGTGAATCGGCATGGCCCGCTACTGCTCCATGACAACGCTCGGCCGCACACATCGCACAAAACAATTGCGAAACTGAACGAACTGGAATATGAAGTTTTGCAGCATCCACCATATTCACCGGATCTCTCGCCGACCGATTTTCATTTTTTCAAGCATTTAGAGCTGTTTTTAAGAGGCAAACACCATGAAAATGAAGACAGTCTAAAAAACTCGATATCAGAGTTTATTAATTCTAAAGACCAAAATTTTTTTAAGACAGGCATCTACGCTTTAAAATCTCGTTGGGAGAAGTGTATTGAAGCGAATGGAGCATACTTTGATTGAATAAACAGCTTTTGAAGAAAGATATACAGTTTTATACAATCACTTAAGAATCCGACATTTCATATGCACCAACCTAATAGAAACCCGAGCACATTCAAGCGCGCAGACTTACGATGGACGCAAATCCCCGACAGACGTCCGGCGGATATGCTCACCGGGCCAATTCGAGAGTTTCGTTAATTAGTTAAACGCCGAGGCAAGGTAATACACGATATAAAACTAAATGCTAGCACCGACGTTACTCGGGCTTGATTAATTGAATCATTTTCAAAATCAGCAACGCGCGAGCGTAACGACAAGGAAATAATTATGTATCGCGTTAATTGTTTTGATTAGGGGCCTGTACACGAGGAACAAGCGCTGTCTGCGCGTAGGCTGCACGTAAAAAGATAACTCACAGACGTCTTCACGTTCGTAGTCGCGGACTATTATTGTTTACGCGGAGATGCCCAACACTGGCTTCTCCACCAACGAGCACCCGCATCCAGCCATGACCGGAGAAAATGTACGATTTCTTGGAAACGCTCGTCCCGATGACAATGACCCGCACTGGGGGAAAATAGGCCAGTTATAGTTTGAGGGAGTTTCGTTTGGGTGTTGCGTAGGTGACGGAAATGACGTGCGTGAGAATCGTGATCGAGAATATTACGTATCGTGAGTGAGATAACTCATACTTAAATTTAGAATTAGACGCGAGTTTTTCAGTTAAATCAGTATCGTAGATATAATGTCATACATGTCATATGATTCAACTAAGTTAAGAGCTGACTTGAAATTTAAATTTGAGTATTTTTCGTGAGGCAAGCTCCAAGTAAAGATTACTAATACGGGGTTAAGACAGTCGATTGTTCAGACGAATGTTTTCGGTCGCGATTAAAATGATTGTTTCCCTCTACCAAGTTTACGTCCGGTCCTTCATTAAAAATTTTTTCTTTGTAGGAAGACGCATCACACGACGTCCCAGATAAAATAGAGAACAGTTACCAGCAAGGCAGCGACAAATGATAATGACGGTTTGTTAACCGTGACCGTTAATGAAAAAAAAAAATACAATCTTATCGTCGGTCAATTATTTCGCACCTGCAAGTTGAAAAATCGTAATTATGACTATACGAGGTGAAAAGAATATGAATATACGAAGCGAGGAAAAGTTTCAAACAAATCGGTCATAGATCCACTATCCACCATCAAGCACATTATTGTTATTCGTATAATCGTCGATTTCGCACGGTGAAGCCGAATTTTTCGACGAGTGCAAATTGCCCCGGAAATCTTCCATCTCCGATATCGCCGCGCTACGTAATACGTATCCGTCAGCGTTTCACGCGAGAGTTTCGACACACGTCTGGAACGGGAAATTGATTTCGGTCGTGGCCGGTCGATTTTTTGCCGCACACGCCATGCACCCTAATTCGATTTTGATACTTACCTAAGGTTTCTCGTGACCTTCCTGACGAGGAAGTGTTTCGTCAAGTCATTCCTGCACAGGAACCGAATCGAGAGCGGAGCCGGCGTAACCGCGTGCTAATCATTATCACGATTTGGCGGAAAAAACAAGATAGTGAGATAACGTGTATAGTTACAATTTAAATCAATAGTAACAATATTAGACATTTGATAGCATTTATCAGGATAATATTATCAGGGTTGGATGATAAATAGTTACTCAGCTAAAAATAAAAGTTAAAAATTTAATAACATTTGACTTAACTAGTTTTAAATAAATTTGAATTAATTAATTAATTAACTAAAGAAATAAAGTAAATAAATTAACTTTTAAGTTAAACTAGTTCACTTAAAATGCGTTAACTTTAACTTATTAATATTTCGCTTCGATTTCAGTCTGTAAAAAAAAAAACAAATATAATCTGATTTCTACAAGTATACGAGAATTTTTTCAAATTTTTATATAGTCTGGAACAATGTAAAAAAACTGTTCTAGCCCTCGAAGTTGCAGGTTGCTGACCGAAGGTGCTAAATTACACGTTGCTGGCGGAGAGAATTCAATTAGTTTTAGTTTAAGTAACTTCTAACTTAGCTAAATTAATTTTGTAGGCCATTAACTTTTAACTTAACTTGATTCAAAATAAAAATTAAATTACTCAACCCTAGCATATGTTTACTTTATAAATCTTCCAACACGATGAAGTTGCATCAGACACGTCTATAAACTGATGTAATCGCATTATAGTTTTGAAGGGTAGGAAAAACCAATTTTTTTTTTTCAAATTTTCGGGGATTTTTCTACCTTTGGAAAAGAAAGCGAAAAAATCCGTGGAAAGTGTGAAAAAAAGATTTTTTTAACATTATAAAAGCACCATGAATTTCAAATTTGATATTCTGATTTGGAAAACTGCAAGGCTGAATTCCGATGTTCACTGGCAATACCGAAAATCTATCATTCATATCGCATTTACCGTAGATTTTTAATCCCGACATCGAATATCGGGCACGCAGCCCGAGTTGAAATCCACTTCTTTAATTTGAGAACGTGAGGGGAGAGGACGACAATAAACAACGGTGAATACACGCGGCCGATGAAATCCGGCGAGTCATTCTATACACCTCGTCCCTCTTTCGTTCCGTCTCTCAGGCCCGGGCGGTCCGTTGCCGCGTTCTCGCCTCATTTTTCAGAGTGCCGAAAGTGCGAGGAGGAAGAGACCACGGCTGGGAACAACGGGGCTCCCTGTCTCCCTTTAGTCATCTCTACGCGCTCCGTTCGGCGTCTCGCGTTCTGAGGAATCGGAGTGCTCCAATGTTACGGAATACTCTACCGACAGGCACGCGGTCGTTCGAAGCTTAACGGCGGCGGCGGCGAAGTAGGGAACGAATACTGCGAGAGAAAGGAGGGGGGAGGGGGAAGGTATCGCCGTTGACCGGTCCGCCGGGAGCAACTTCAGTCGTTCCGCGGAGCGCAAGCAGTCGACGTTGTGCGACGTGCGCCGGTGTTCGCACGAGAATTCTCGCAGCTCTTTCCGCACGGGATCCTTTCCTCTCACGTGCGCGCGCGATCTCCCCGAGCGATCGTCGATCGAGATCACGGAAATCGTGAACTGCCCGGCGAGAGAGAGAGAAGGAGGGAGAAGAAGGAGAAACGGAGTTCGAGTTGACGTTACGTTCGAGTTACTTGACGCGCGGCTGACTTCAGTGCGATACCCGCCATCGAGGTGTGCATCGATGTAACTCGTTAACAACAAACCGAGAAAGAGCGAGAGAAAGAAGAGAAGAAGAAGGTGGAGAGCTGTGCCGCATGTTGTCCGTCGTCGCGAGGAAGGTGCTCGCGAACGCGGTTTCGTCGGCGCGATCGGATCGCGACAGTGGGATCGATTCGATCTGCGATACGCGACGGTGAGAGATCGGAGCGTGAATTCCATTCGCGCATACACACACACACGCGTGCGCGCTACTCTTCGTGCACTTTGTAGTCGGCGGTGGCACTCGCGTGTATCGAGAGTTCGGCGTCGGTTACGTGTGAGCGTTACGCACGTTCAATTCTCGCGACACCGTCGGCGAGTGCTTCGTCGTGAAACTTTCGGCCGGTGATATCGAACGACGCCGCGAAAGATCCGCGAACGGAGAGGAGGTGACACACGCGACGACGCGCAGAAGATCGCGATCGAATCGATCGGAGTGATTAACCGTAAGTGATCGCTGGTGCGGGTTCCTTGTTGGTGATCTGTGCGAGTACGAGGGAGAAGAGAGAGGGGGGTGGAGGAAGAGGAGTCACGCGACCGGCGGGAGCGTCGCGTGAAGGCAGCGGAACGTCGCGTCGTACGGTTTGGTGCTCCGAGGGGGAACCGGAAGCCGCTATATTGGAGAAGAAGCGGGAAAGCGGCGTGCCGCTCTTCTGTGTGCCGCGGCAGAGGCGCTCGTCCCAGCCCGGAAACGTGAGTAATTTCTCCGATGATATTCAACGCGAGTCTTCTTCGCTGGTACCCAAGTCGGAATTTGAGGGTCCTTTAAGCGAAAAGCCTTTAAAGCCTTCCAAGCCTTTGACTCTGCAACGTAGCAGGAGCTACGGTAGCAAAATGGGTTCAGTTCTACTGATGTAACTCCTGCTTTGGCCATGATGATGTCTTGGGTTTCCATCTCCGCTGTTTCGAACATCAAAATAGGTTGTTTCACGCAGCATCGAAGTTAAATCTGTACATTCAGAGAAAAATATAGTAACATGGGTGACGATTATGTAAGTTTTGTGTGTACAGTCAATATGTGTTGTTTAATAAACCGTTATAATTGTAGTAAATATAAACGAATATTAATAAATAAATAGCAAGTATATAATGGAAAATTGAATATGGATTGTTACGGTGACTGTAGTTATTGAGAACTATAGTTTGTGCTATGCTATACCATTCAGATTTAGTAGCAATAACTATAAAATAGTTTATTAAATTATATACATTTATTTTACACGTAAAGTTCATGTAGTTGTCATCTTTATCGTTGTCCCAATTATATATTTTTCTCCGAGTATGTAGAATTAAAAGTTTAAGAGAAAATTTAACAAGTGTATTCGAAGTAATCTTTTAGTATATAAGCTATTTAAATAAGCGCAAATTATCCTTGAGAATCAAAGCAGCATTAAAATATCGACTCGGGTAACCCATAAATCGCCACAACAAGAGTGACTTTCACCAAACTAATTAAACTAATCGATAAATAATAATAAGAATTTCCAACATCAATTTCCAGTCGTGTAACTTATCGTGCAACATTAATCGAAGTATTAATCATTTCTATCCATGTTAATAAGATAGAGCAGGTAAGATTTGATTGGAAATTTAAGATAGCAATTTTAAATCATCGATTAGATTAATCAGAGTTTGGTGAAAGTCGCCCTTAAGATTGTAACACTTTTTTCGATGAGTTTCGCAATGCATCTCGTATTCAATGGGAAAATACATCTCCTGGGAATTATTAAGAAATAATTTCTCCTATCGGACACGGGATCCATTGTGAAACTCATCAAGAAAAAATGTTGCAATCTTTAATCTGCCGACTGTGTACTTGCGATTTGTGCAATCGATATCGCACTGTCAGTTGAAACGCTGATAAGCGATAACGCTGATAATAGTCATTAATACATTGACTTGACTAAGCGTTATACTGGATTGTTTAGGTGTTGTGCATTGATCATTCTAATAATTATCATTATTACCTACGATCTGTATGACAAATTGAAATAACTGACATTTTCACCATTCCGATGCTGGTTATATTCAGCGCACTTTAATTGTGCTCTCGCTGCGACCCAGTTGGCAAAGATTAAATAATAGTTTATTCATAAAAACTGGCTTGATCGAAGAATAACGTGGTAATGAATACCCATATCCAGCGGTTTCAACTGGTTGCAAAGCAAACGGTTTCTCAAGCGGTAATCGTCGCGCTAAGTAAACATCAGAAAATGCCTATTCGCGACGATTCGTTAATTTCGTTAATCCGACGAAAAACGACGGGAGAATTAAGGGACACGCGACTTACATTTCACCGTGACACTCCCGTTGTTTATTTATTTATGGTACACTGAGTTTCAAAATGGCTTGAACACTTTTTTTTCTTGACACAGTTTAGAATGTAACCATCGATCCTGTAAGAGAACTAATTTTTGAAAAATAAAATAATTCTCTGAGTGGACCATTGTTTGTGTTCCAAACTGCACTGCAAAAAAGTGTTCTGACCGTTTTGAAACTCAATGTTCGTACGTTTAAAAAAAGTGCTACTCCATACTTCTATCAAAATAATTACTTCGTACAAATATTTATTAGAATTAAAAATATAATTGATTATATACAATATGATATTTCCTTGGTATGAATAAACATTTATTTGAATATGTTAAAATAATTATGACAAGTATTAAATTCATAATATTGAGAATATATCAAAATTTATTTTTAGAATATATTAATTGAATATAAAAATCTAAATTTGAACCTAACTAGGTTTCTTAAGTAGAAAAAAATGTTAAATAATTCTAGTAAATACTCTATTATAGTAAGATTCTAAATTTAGAATCTTATTTCGCACTTATATTCAGTTACAAATTAAGGCATTATTGCATTCAAATAAGTATTTACTACAAGCTATTAAAATATTCTTAAATTGATAAAAATATTAGTTTATTTAAGAAGTTGAAAAACAATTAATTACGTTTACTTGATTCTAGTATTTTTTTCTCGCGATCAAAGCTCGATTGTATCTCGCGTGTGTCTTGCGAACAAAGCTCGATTCGAAACTATGACCGTATTCTGAACTATCTTTTATTGATAAAAGCGTCTACAAAGGAGGCCCAGAAATGACTTGATTGGCTGAAAAGCCATATTCAAGGCACTTTTATCGATAAAATAGAGTTCAGAATACTTTATTCTTTATGAACATATTTCGAATTTTGTCCTCTGTTCTCTGAGAGAACCACCTAGAGTAAACTTGGTTTCAAGAAAATGCCGGGAACTACGGGAAAGTGTCGGTCGACAGGATCGAAAACGCAAAACCGTCAGAGAAGTATGATCGGAGCGCGCATGAGAGATCGATTGAAAGTAATCCCTGCGATCAAGCTCGACGATGTAATTGGGTCGCGGCTGGCATAATTAAAACGAATGAAACGATCGCCCCCTCCTTCTCTCCCGCGTACCATAGCGACGTAATGATTCGAAGTCATTAATACGACGTGCGAGACATAATCTCGCCGACGACAAGGTCGGTGCATACATCGACATTGATGACGTGTAAGCCACATACGAGTTCCTGGCGTAGACTCACTCGCGTATAATTAATCTCCGCGATTGATAATTAGCGAGGTGGAATTTCCTCACGTGCGATTACCATGGCATCACGAGCTCTCGCAGCTCCATGGGATCGCGTGCTGTTGTTCACGCAACTGCGCCACGTAACGATCGTTATAACGTACCGCGATAATTTTCCATTTTCTAATCGTATACCGTCTCGGCACTGTACGCCTACGAGAAGAATCGTCGCTCTCATGACGATAACATTTTCAATATATTATTAAATATAAAGATGGAAGGCTCGCACAATGTATTGAGAAAGTGATGTATTGAGAGTAATATCAGTAATTAGATATTTTTCACGTATTTCTCCAGTAAGATTTTTATTTGGAGCACAATTAGGTAACGTATAATTAAAATATAATGTTGCATTGAAACAAATGTTGGTTGAATTTATTTGAGAACGAATAAAACAAGCGCGATTTAGTTAAAGGAAGAAGCAGAATTTCTGGTTATAAGAGCTAAATTTGGTTCATACATAGAGAAAAAAAAACTTCTTTTTTTTTTTAGGAAAATTAGTGTTTTAAATTTCTATTTTTCTATCCAGGAAAAATATTTTCTAAAATTAAAATTCCAATATTCTCAATATTATGAAGTTATATACATACGTGTGTAATTAAATATTATTTAATATAATTTACATACAACGTGAAATATTCCCGTCTCTCTGCATTTATGTCAGGATGACGTCGATCGTTCTCGTCCCGTATTGATGATACTTTTATACCACCCACGTATCATCAGTGGATCATCGTTGAAGAATTAAGCGCGTCAAAGCGCGGTGATACACACGTGGGATGTTATTGCGTGGACGGAAACCCTCGGCATTGCTCAATCGTGCACAGTAAAATCGGTCGTAATAGTCGTCCCCTCCACATGTCGCGTCCCGCCGAGCTCTCGATAAGGTCTCTCACACCTGAACTTTCAACGTCATGCCGTCGTTCGCAAGTGACCTTTCCGACAGGCACATTCGCGATTCGGGTGACTTTTTCATCTCGAGTTCACTCGAGACAATCCGTCTTGATCCAGACGACCTTGTTTTCTAACAAAAGAAAGAAACGATTTCCGTCTTTGACATAAATGAAGAATAGTGTAGAATAGAGGGAGCGCCGAGAGAGAAAGAGAGAAGTCACCATTGTGTGACATCGCCGGCGATACGCGCGCGGATATGCTTGAGAACACCGAAGAAATTCACCACTGTTCGTTTAATGCACAGGGTGTGGCGGTAACGATGGTATATCCGCGAAGATGAGACGGTTCTTTGCGCAAGAATAAATCGAAAGATCGTGGAACATCTCTCTTTCTCGAGCGAGACCTCGTTTTCGAGAAAACGGGAGAATGTACCAATGTCGTGCTTCTTTGAAGTTTACAAAAAAAGAAAAAAAAAACACGGTTGGATCGACAAATCGGTTACCGTCATTATAAAAAAAAATTCTGTCCATTGAACGAATCACGCGTTGACGCAACAATACGTTGCGCTGACACATTTGCTGAAAAAATTGCAATCATTGAATCAATCGATAACTTATCACAGCAGTAGTGGTAGTGCTGTTACTAACCTCGCTGTGTTCCGTATGCTGGATTCGTTAATGCATCAGTTGATATGATTTACATACATCTTGTAAGCCTCTATCAATCACAATATCAGCCGATCCATTACTGAACCCAGTATAAGGAACACAGCAAGTTTAGTTACAGTACTATCAACTTGTTAACTAAAAAATATATCCTCGATATATCCAGCAGAACACACGTTGTTTGGGTAAATATCACTTTACTTTAGTATAAATAAAAATTTATTTTTGGAGGTAGGGCTAGCACAATAGACATGAATTAGTCTCCGTGTTGGAAAACAATCGGTTGCTTACCGCACGTATCGGAAAAACATCGAATACATAATGTATGATAATACAATCAGCCGCAATCGCGTCGATCTTTTGTGAGAATGTCGCCGTTTAACGGCGGAATGGGCGACCTTATCGTTTTCTTTCCGATCTGATTAACCTCGCTGATCTTATTCGCCGCTATTCCTACGCAACGTAGCGAATGACCTGAATTTCGTTTTGTCGCATTGCTCGTGGGAAAGAAATTTCTAAGCG